AAAAAAAAAAAAAAAATATTCCGACGAACTGATAACCTCCTCCTTTTTTGGAAGTCGGTTAATAAAATCATATCAAATAAGATAAAACAAAAATTAAATTAAACTAAAATAAATAGATTGAACATAAATAAATTAATATAAAAAAAGAGAAATTAAATGAAACAATTTATGAAATCCAAGTAAATAACAGTCAATAAAACCAAATAAATAAATCAATAAAATAAACAAAAATTCAATTTAAACAAAACTAAATAAATTTCAAAATTAAATTTAGTAAAAACGTGCTTGACACTCAGTACTGGCAATGCTGTGTGTCATTCCACTTCATTTCAATCAATTTAGCGCGCCCCTGGCGGTTTTCATTCGTAACTCAACAAGCGCTGCCACACGATAAGAAAAACGAAAAAATTTAACGCAAAGATAACTTCTTTTTCACGTTTCTCCTGACGTCTTTCGAAAAAGCAAGTAACTTTAAATAAATTTTGTATTGCAAATATGCTTAGAAAACTTAAAAGTGTTGTGTGACCTTCCCTTTTTTGAAACTTTTTCATATATCCAAAGCGTTCACCATATTCCATTCGTTCCCCGCCTACATCAGCGTTGTGGCAACACTTCGGCTGTAGACAGCAGCAGTGGAAAAAAACGAAAACGTCTACGCGTATGGAAAGAATTTAGTTGCCCTTTTCATTTATTATTTATTTATTTGCTTTAAGTGCATTTTAAATTAAACAAATTGGTATGAATTTGAAACATTTTAGTGTAATGCAGTGCAATGAATTTAAGTGAAATGGTGCAAATGTAGCGCTAATATTTTAGAGCAATTTTTACTTGGAGTTTTCTTGCGTCGCGTACTCCGTTTCGTTCGTTTGATTGCAGTAGCAGCAAAGCAGAAGCGCAGCGGAGACAGCGACAACTTGTGCTCGAGAAAAAAAAGAGACAATTTTTGTATAACTCCGCCAAGATATCAACTAAAATATGCAATTGAACAACGGTACGGGTATATGTATACATACAATTTTTACAAATAGTTAAGTTTATTGCTTTGGTTAATGTGAAAATCAGGAAAATTTGCACTTTGTATAATACGTTGGCAGAGTTTTCATTGCTTATTAGAGTGTGGGTAACAGCAGCCATGGTACGTAGCAGCGGCGCAGAGTACATCTACCTGCGTACGGTGAAGTTTTTCGATTTTATTCGCTGCATGCCTTCGTCGTCATTATTAACCCGTTGTGCGTGAAGCGAATTGTGGAGTTAAAAAATCACAAACTGGTAGTGTATGAATTAAAATTAATTTAGAAAATGTCTATAAATTATTGTGTGTTCATTCAAGCGAAGTTTGCTTGTTAACTGGTGACTTAGCTATTTTATCTTTTGTTGGTCATTAACAAAAAAATTCGCTAAACAAAATTGAGTCGTTGAAATTTACATTAGAATAGTAATTAATTTATGCACAGGGAAACTTGATTACTTCCGTTTTCGCTCAAAAAGAAAAGGTGCTTAAACAAAGAGAGTTAGGGTAATTTTCGTTAGTATGTAAATATGTAGGTAGGTATGTATGTATCTAAATAAAGTTTCGATTTCGAAATTAAAAACCAAGCTAATTAAATTATAACAAAACCACTAAGAGTAAACGGATGCAGCGAGACTGTGGGACTACACAGTTCTCAAGCTAACTCGGTCAATTGCAAAAAAGTCAAAAATAAATATGTACATATGTTCATATAGTATGTATGAAAAACTTCGTTAAGCTGTTGCCTCCAAAATCTAATAAAAATGTATACCCTTTTTCAGCTGCCAAAAATAGTACCTAGTATAGGTAAGTCCATATCATAAAAATTTGCGCTAACACTTGATAATGTAGTTGCAAAAATCCAGCAATTAAATAATTTATCTTAAAACTAAATAATAGCATTCGAAGAATCTAATTTTTATGATTCAAAAGAATTTTTATATAGAACTGATTGTACTTTATTGACTTTATGCACGCTTTGAACTCCAAAATAGCCATTAGTGGTATAGATATGTATGTACATCATAGTAAACAAAGAATTTATAGAATACAGTTTACCGTAAATGTCAAATCGCCCACTTTGTTTCCCATCTACAAGCGAGATGCAAACGCAACTATGTACATGCCAACAATAGCATACAGCAGCATGCAAGCAACGCCCTCGTTTTTCTCCTCTCCCCCTTCAAACAATATTTTGTATCGATATAGAAGTACATATGTACTCAAGTTGGTCCGCACCGCACTTCAGCACGCATATGTTGCGCAGTGCGCAAGCCAGTTCGTCCAACAATCTATCGCCTCATTCCATTCATTCATGCATTCGACAGTGGCAATAGCTGCGGCAACACAACCACAACCACCACCACAATCTCTTCAATGTTGCTTCTGTATGTACAATTCCAACTCCCACTTCATCTCACACGCTACAAGTTGTTGTGGCTGCCGCGCAGCAGCTGAAACGAATTGAGTTTTGAAATTACTATTCTCTTAATTTTTTTTCATCCCGCTCTGTTAGCTCGGCGTTAGCAAATAAACGACAAAATAGTAGCACAAACAACTTTGTGAGTGCATTAAAATGAAACCGAAAAATTAATTACATCAAATGAAAAAAAAAAATTGTATTGCGGGCATAGTGTGACGTACACTAGCAATCAAACGTGAGTGCATTGTGTTTTTTGTTTAATATTTGCAACGTTTTTCAAATGAAATCTTTTTTGTTATTTTTTTATAAAAATATGGTTTATGCTTCAAAACCACATAAGTCAAACTTTATACAGAACTTGAAAAATTCCACAAATTTTCGTCGTAAAAGGATAAACAGACGGCAGCGTCGGGCAGACGGCGTCTCGGGAATTAACTGCAGTCGATCCGGATTAAGTCTGGTGTAGTGCTTTCAAAAACTTATATTTTCGGTAAAGTTTAGTTCCAATTAAATTTTTAATGTTTAACAAAAATACATTTTTAACTATACAGCAAGATGAAAAAATTTGAAGTGAAGAAAANATTCGCTAAACAAAATTGAGTCGTTGAAATTTACATTAGAATAGTAATTAATTTATGCACAGGGAAACTTGAGTACTTCCGTTTTCGCTCAAAAAGAAAAGGTGCTTAAACAAAGAGAGTTAGGGTAATTTTCGTTAGTATGTAAATATGTAGGTAGGTATGTATGTATCTAAATAAAGTTTCGATTTCGAAATTAAAAACCAAGCTAATTAAATTATAACAAAACCACTAAGAGTAAACGGATGCAGCGAGACTGTGGGACTACACAGTTCTCAAGCTAACTCGGTCAATTGCAAAAAAGTCAAAAATAAATATGTACATATGTTCATATAGTATGTATGAAAAACTTCGTTAAGCTGTTGCCTCCAAAATCTAATAAAAATGTATACCCTTTTTCAGCTGCCAAAAATAGTACCTAGTATAGGTAAGTCCATATCATAAAAATTTGCGCTAACACTTGATAATGTAGTTGCAAAAATCCAGCAATTAAATAATTTATCTTAAAACTAAATAATAGCATTCGAAGAATCTAATTTTTATGATTCAAAAGAATTTTTATATAGAACTGATTGTACTTTATTGACTTTATGCACGCTTTGAACTCCAAAATAGCCATTAGTGGTATAGATATGTATGTACATCATAGTAAACAAAGAATTTATAGAATACAGTTTACCGTAAATGTCAAATCGCCCACTTTGTTTCCCATCTACAAGCGAGATGCAAACGCAACTATGTACATGCCAACAATAGCATACAGCAGCATGCAAGCAACGCCCTCGTTTTTCTCCTCTCCCCCTTCAAACAATATTTTGTATCGATATAGAAGTACATATGTACTCAAGTTGGTCCGCACCGCACTTCAGCACGCATATGTTGCGCAGTGCGCAAGCCAGTTCGTCCAACAATCTATCGCCTCATTCCATTCATTCATGCATTCGACAGTGGCAATAGCTGCGGCAACACAACCACAACCACCACCACAATCTCTTCAATGTTGCTTCTGTATGTACAATTCCAACTCCCACTTCATCTCACACGCTACAAGTTGTTGTGGCTGCCGCGCAGCAGCTGAAACGAATTGACTTTTGAAATTACTATTTTCTTAATTTTTTTTCATCCCGCTCTGTTAGCTCGGCGTTAGCAAATAAACGACAAAATAGTAGCACAAACAACTTTGTGAGTGCATTAAAATGAAACCGAAAAATTAATTACATCAAATGAAAAAAAAAACTGTATTGCGGGCATAGTGTGGCGTACACTGGCAATCAAACGTGAGTGCATTGTGTTTTTTGTTTAATATTTGCGACGTTTTTCAAATGAAATCTTTTTTGTTATTTTTTTATAAAAATATGGTTTATGCTTCAAACCACATAAGTCAAACTTTATACAGAACTTGAAAAATTCAAAAAATTTTCGTCGTAAAAGGATAAACAGACGGCAGCGTCGGGCAGACGGCGTCTCGGGAATTAACTGCAGTTGATCCGGATTAAGTCTGGGTTAATCAGGATCAACGCTGCCGTCAATTTAAGCTTTAAGAAAACAAAGCATGTTTGATGTAGAAAAGTTAAGAATTTTATTTTTGTTGACAATATTTTTTGTTTGTCTATAAATTGACAGTTTTTAAAATAGCACAGATGTGTACTTACTTGCGCTTTCCAAACAGTAACGTCTGCAGCACCAAAAACGGTGCGGGTTCGTTCTGACAGAATCGCACAGGTGTGTGGATGCCTTTAAGCGGGTAAAAAATCGCGATGATTCTTAAAGATTTTTTATTGCTGACGACTTTAGGCACTTTTTACCATATAAAAAGGAGAATGAAATGCGCAAGACCGTTTGCAAGCAAAATTAAAAAAAATTAACGCTAAACATATTTTATAAATTGCACTTGTTATGTGCATAAAACCGCAAATTCCGTCAAAAAAAAATTTTAGCCGCCGAGAAATTACACTTGTGCTACTAGAATTAAAAAACCGAACTATCTGCGTACTAAACATTTTTTAAAAATTCTGATTAAAAAGTTCAAAATTTAGACGAAAATTTCTTGAATTTTTCTTGAAAGTTTGAAAGTTTGACTTAAGTGGTTTTTATTAAAGCAGGAATCATATTTTATAAAAATAATAGCAAACAAATTTTAACTTAAAAAACTTTGCAAATATTAAACAAAAAACACCATGCACTCACTTTTGATTGCCAGTGTATGTAGTGAGTGGTGTTGGTGCTTGTTATTTGAGTAGGCAGGTTTATGTAGAAATAAAAGTTCAAAAATTATATAAGATGGTTGGTAAATGGAGCTTTACCATTTTTTATGTGGGTGTTATACACAACAAAGGTCAAATATTAATGCTATTATACTTGATTTATTTTATGATAAATAAATCTTACTAATGTATTTGGTAACAATAATAATATGTCAGTCAGCAGATAAAAGTTGACATAATAATTTTGTATGTAAACTGAAATAATAGGTACACATGATACAAAAAAGATACCAACTTCCTACTGTCCTAGATACTTCATTATTATTTCGAAATTTTTTAAAGCTATGAAAATGTGGCCAATGATTTTTTAGCTACTTGTGTTTACTTATTTAAAATACATATTGCTATCGACACTGTGCGATTTGTGCTGTTGGAAAAATGGAATTATGATCCAAAACGAAAATAACAACTTTCTTGTATGCCTTATTGTGTTGCACCTATCAGTCGCCCGTGCTGTCACTAAAAAAAAAAAAAAAATCGGATGTAATAATCACGAAAAAGTTGCTGACAAAATCATCTGATGTTCGCAGGTGTCTTCGAAATGTAATTTCTTCATTTTTGTAACACAATCAAAGTGAACATCACAAATTGGAGCACAGCGGATCATATGCTACAGTAGATAGTTTGCAAATTTTAAAGTAGGTATCAGTATCTTCAGTTGGTAGGACAGGAAACGTTTTCCTCATATTTTTCAAATCTCTATCAACTTTCATTTCC